GTGGGGGCCCTGCAGCTGGAGATGGCTGAGATGCAGCCAGCCCCAGTGCCGCAGCCGGGTGCCAGCGACCACCAATATGAGTGCCAGGAGTGTGGCAAAGTGTTCAAGTGGTCGTCGCGACTGATTCATCACCAGCGCACACACACGGGTGAGCGCCCTTACAAATGCTCCGAGTGCCCTAAGGCCTTCAAGGGCTCATCAGCACTGCTCTACCACCAGCGCAGCCACACTGGCGAGCGCCCCTACAAGTGTGCTGACTGCGGCAAGGCCTTCAAACGCTCGTCGCTGTTGCAGATCCACCAGAGCGTGCACACGGGTCTACGCGCCTTCAAGTGCGCTCTGTGTGGCATGGCCTTCAAGTGGTCGTCGCACTACCAGTACCATGTGCGCCAGCACACAGGCGAGCGCCCCTACAAGTGCACGTTGTGTGAGAAGGCCTTCAAGAACTCATCCAGCCTGCGGCGCCACCGTAACATCCACACCGGCGAGCGCCCCTATGTCTGTGCCGCCTGCGGGAAAGCCTTCACCCAGTCCACCAACCTGCGGCAGCACCAGCGCATCCACACAGGAGAACGTCCCTACCAGTGCACTGAATGCCCCAAGACTTTCACCCACTCCTCCAACCTGCTGCTGCACCAGCGCACCCATACCGGGGGACGGGCCCACAAGTGCCAGGCCTGTGGCAAAGCCTTCATCTCGGACGCCTACCTGCAGAAACACCTGCAGACGCACGCAGCCAAACCACTGGCACCCTTTGGCGAGGCGGAGCTGACCTGTGCACCAGCTGAGCTCTTCCTGGCTCCTGCAGAGCCTGTAGAGACAGTGGAGATGCTATGGAAGTGTGGGGAATGTGAGCTGACCTTCCCCAGCGAGGAGCTACTGCTGGGCCACCAGCACAGTCACCTGGCTCCCCCAGTGCCCACTGAGCCGCCCGTCCCACCGCTCTACACCTGCGCCACCTGCGGCAAGGCCTTCAAGAATGGCTCGGGCCTGGCACGCCACCAGCACAGCCACGTGGGTGAGCGCCCTTACAAGTGCTCCATCTGCGAGAAGACATTTGTGCAGCTCTCTAGCCTGCTGGGGCACCAGCGCAGCCACCCGGCCGAGCAGCAGCTCATCCAGGCAGAGGCCGAGGTCACCTGTCCCCAGACGGCGACCGAGCCAGCCCCACCCCCTGTGCCTCCTGAGGTGGCCGAGCGCCCCTACAAGTGCACCGAGTGCGGCAAGGCCTTCAAAGGCTCATCAGGGCTGCGCTACCACCTGCGCGACCATACAGGCGAGCGCCCCTACAAGTGCTCGGAGTGCGGCAAGGCCTTCAAGCGCTCGTCACTGTTGTCCATCCACCAGCGCGTGCACACCGGCCTGCGCGCCTTCAAGTGCGCCGAGTGCGGCCTCACCTTCAAGTGGTCGTCACACTACCAGTACCACCTACGCCTGCACACGGGCGAGCGCCCCTATAGCTGCACCGACTGTGGCAAGGCCTTCAAAAACACCTCATGCCTGCGACGCCACCGCCAGCTGCACACTGGTGAGCGCCCCTTCGCCTGCCTGGTGTGTGGCAAGGCCTTCACCCAGACCTCCAACCTGCGGCAGCACCAGCGCACGCACACAGGCGAGCGCCCCTACAGCTGCCAGGAATGCGGCAAGAGCTTCACTCACTCCTCCAACCTGCAGCTCCATCAGCGCACGCACTCCAGCGAGCGCCCCTTCAAGTGCTCTGTCTGCGCCAAGGGCTTCGTCATGGCTTCCTACCTGCAGCGCCACCTGCGCACCCATGCTGCTGAGGCCAAGGGGGAGAGCCCAGGCCCAGGTCTTCCCACCCCACCTGCCACCCAGGAAGTGCATATTGTGCCCAACTTACAGGCCACCCTCAACCTGGAAGTGGGTAGCACGCCCAGCGCCCCCAACTCACAGACTTTCCTGCTGGTGCAGACAGCCCAGGGGCTGCAGCTTATCCCCAGTGTCCAGCAGAGCCCCCAGAAACTGCTGCTCCTGCCCAGCCCACAGCTGGTGCCGACGCAGCAGAAAGTGTCTGTCCTCCAGAACACCCCTAATTTTACACTGGTGCCCAGCGGCCCTGTAGCCCCAAGCAAGCCTGCCCCACGCCAGCAGAGCAAGACCAGGAAGCAGGCAGCACCTGGCAATCCCCAGAACATCATCCTGGTGCCTGGTGGTGGGCCAGTGCTGCCCAGCATGCAGATCCAAGCACTGCCAGGCCCACAGCCAACACCAACCCTCCCGGCTGGGCAGAATATCATTGTGCTGCAGAATGTGGCCGAGCAGCCTCCTGCAGATGTGTCTGGAGTCCGGATCCAGGCCCAGCCTCAGGAGGTGGCCAGCATCCAGCTACAGGCTCTGCCGCCGCCCCCTGCTGAGGCATCAAATGTGCAGACTCTGCCCCAGCCCCCAGAACTAGACAGCATGCAGCTGCAAACCCTAGTGCAGACTCCCCCAGTAGGGGGTGAAGAGCAGCACCTGCCTTGCTCCTCAGCACTTTCGGGTACTGTGGGTTCTGGGCCAGATGTGTCGGGCCTGCAGGAGAGTCAGGATCTGCTGGTGGTGCAGAGCGGGCCAGGGGAGGAACTGCTGGGGTCGGGTGGGGAGGTGGGTGTGCATCTGGAGACGCTGCAGACGGAGGAGGGGGTACAGAGCGTACTGGTGCTGCGTGGTGCTGATGGTGAACAGACCCGACTCTGTGTACAGGAGGTGGAGAACCTGCAGGAACTGCCCCCAGACAATGGAGTAGGAGCCCTGGCACCGGCAACAGGGCAGAAGCTCTTCATCATCCGCAGTGCGCCTGGTGAGCAGACTCTGCAAGTGCTGGAAAACATGGGCTCTGGCAGTGGCACGGCGCATGGGGTGTCAGCTGGCGGGCAGCCCTCTGCCACCAGTACCCAGATGGTGCAGCTGCTGCCAAACCCAGTACCACCCCCCCAGGAACTGCCCTCTATCCAGATTGTGCAGACAGTGCCCAGTGTGCAGCTGGTTCACACCTTCTGAGCCCCTGGCTACAGACACCAGCCGGGGTGTGTGCAGTGGGTTGGCATTGCAGGATCTGCTAGATCTTGTTCCCCGATTGTCTTGCCTGTGCAATATGAAAATAGTGGGATATCCCCACATGATGACCAGTGGGGGCCGCAAGCTGTGAGACTTGTGCAGGTAGCCTGGTTCTGCATCATCCTAGCTATCCTGGCTGCAGACTCCTGAGTTCTATCCTCAACTCTGGGAGGAGACTTGGTTCTAGGGGTTAGAGTGGATGGGTGGGCTGGGAGTCAGGACCCCTGGGTTCCATCCCTGACACTACGGGGTCTAGTGGTTAAAGTGTATGCAGGTTTGGGAGCTAGGTCTCTTGGGTTCTGCTGGGTGAGCCTGAGCAAGTCCCTCCCTGGTTGGAGCATTTTCCCTTCTGTGGGCTGAGCATAGCATTCCGGGAGGCTAAATGCATGAATAAGAGGTAGGAGCTCTGCAGTCAACCCGTGGGTGGAGCAGTTGGTGCTTGCCTCTTCACAAGTGGTTCCTATAGGAGAGGGGTTCCCATGGCTCTGGCAGACAGAAGACTGGCATGAGAGCAGTTGCCACCTTCTGTATCTTTGTCCTGGTAACCAGGTAATACCTACTCCCCAAAGCCCTGGCCTATTCCTCCAACGCCCAGATGGCCTCCTGTGTAGGCAGAGCACCCCTGTCTCTTCTAGAGCCCCTTCTGTATTAGGGCAGTTGGCACAACCCTTCAACCTACAAGGCAAATAAAAGACTGATTTGAAAGTGCCTCTGTTTGGTTTGTTCAGTGCATGAAGGGTGTAGGAGAAAGAAAGAGCCTGAAGAGCTGGGTGCTTGAACCAAAGTAAGCAAAAGTTTTATTATGAGTAACAGACAGTCCATGTCAGAAGCAGATGTTTGCTCGCAAGTCAGTGTCTCTCAGCGCTAGAACTGCTAGCACTGATAAAAGCACATGAAGTATGTAAATACATGTCACCAGGACAATACAGGGACACCCACCTGAGTACACAATAAAATAGTTTGAAACAACAGGAGTGAAAGCAGAACGGGTAATGAATGCTTTGGAGGAAAGTAGAAGAAGAGGTACCAAACACGTCATTAATGCGTAAGATGATATGTATGGCGTGGATCATAAATTGTTCATTTCTGACTATAAATGTGGGGGTACCTCACTTAACTCTTTAGCTGGCCTAGGGGGAAATAGTGAAATCCATACTATTGATTGGCTGTGTCCATTGTCCTGGGTACAAATATGTAGGGGGCTCAGAGGCCATCTGGCTACCAACAATTATTAATGTACTTCGTTCAACAATAAACCTGACTCAGGTGCCTTTGTATCTTATCTAAGTGTGTGGTCTTTGGGGGCTCTCGTAAAGTCTATTATGCTAGCTACCAGCACAGAGCAGGCATAATATACTGAGGGAGCATATGAAAATGCATGGAGCCGAACATTTATCACTAACGGATCAGGAGACCTGTCAGAATGCCACACCAGTAAATCCTGGATTTGCTGTATCACTATCCTGTTTTACTACAGACGGGGATGTGGCCTCACGCCTACACCCATCTTGTGGTGGCTGAACACCACAAAGGGCTGCATGGGAACTGGGCCTAATTGGTAGATAGTGCCCTCCTGCTGCCACCACAGCTGCAGCTCCTGCACTAAGCCTGGCTGAGGCTGGTGGGTGCCTGCAGGTTCAACTTGGCAGTTCTGTGTGCATGAGAGACACTAGCATCTGCTCAGATATGGTGCTGGGTTCCTGCGCTAGAGCTGCTGGGTGGGAGGAGGTATGCAGGGCCCCGCCAAACCTGAGTGTTCATCAGATAGCCTTTATGCTGGGGGCTGCAGGGCCTTGCCTCAGCAAAGCAACCATCTGTGGGTGCTGAGCCCAGTGTTCAAGGATGACACTAGCAGGCCTGTGCTGCAGAGAGAGGGGTGTGGCTCAGCAAGGGATTTTTTTACCTCCCCTGCATACCCTGCACTGTGTTGGATGTGGCCTGCCCATCAGGTCACTGGGTCCAGCTTAGCCTGGCCCCTTGCTCACTGGTCTAGCTCAGCTTGCTCACTGGGTCTGGTTCAGCTTGCCCCCTCAATCCGTCAGCTGGCTTGGCTCACACATTGGTCTGGCTTATATTACTTATTCATTGCTGGAACTGGCTGGGCCTACTGGGTCCAGACTCACCATCTCGCTCGTTGGTCAGCAGGTCCCTTAGGGTCCAGCTCAGCTTGCCCCCTTACTCAATGGGTAGCAGGTCTGGCTCGACCTGATCCCTGGGTCCAGCCCGGCCCCTCTCTCGGCGCTCACCGGGTGCGTCTTGGCACTCACCAAGTCTGGCTCAGCCCCTCACTCAGCAGTCCTTGGGTCTGGCTCGGCCCCTCTCTCGGCGGTCCCTGGGGTCAGCAGGTCCCTTAGGGTCCAGCTCAGCTTGCCCCCTTACTCAATGGGTAGCAGGTCTGGCTCGACCTGATCCCTGGGTCCAGCCCGGCCCCTCTCTCGGCGCTCACCGGGTGCGTCTTGGCACTCACCAAGTCTGGCTCAGCCCCTCACTCAGCAGTCCTTGGGTCTGGCTCGGCCCCTCTCTCGGCGGTCCCTGGGTCTAGCTCAGCACTCACTGGGTCTCGCTCGGCCCCTCTCTCGGGGGTCCCTGGGTCCCTTTAATGGGGGAAGGGTCAGTGGTTGCAGGGGGCGGGCAGTCCCATTCCCTTTAATGGGGGAAGGGTCAGTGGTTGCAGGGGGCGGGCAGTCCCATTCCCTTTAATGGGGGAAGGGTCAGTGGTTGCAGGGGGCGGGCAGTCCCATTCCCTTTAATGGGGGAAGGGTCAGTGGTTGCAGGGGGCGGGCAGTCCCATTCCCTTTAATGGGGGAAGGGTCAGTGGTTGCAGGGGGCGGGCAGTCCCATTCCCTTTAATGGGGGAAGGGTCAGTGGTTGCAGGGGGCGGGCAGTCCCATTCCCTTTAATGGGGGAAGGGTCAGTGGTTGCAGGGGGCGGGCAGTCCCATTCCCTTTAATGGGGGAAGGGTCAGTGGTTGCAGGGGGCGGGCAGTCCCATTCCCTTTAATGGGGGAAGGGTCAGTGGTTGCAGGGGGCGGGCAGTCCCATTCCCTTTAATGGGGGAAGGGTCAGTGGTTGCAGGGGGCGGGCAGTCCCATTCCCTTTAATGGGGGAAGGGTCAGTGGTTGCAGGGGGCGGGCAGTCCCATTCCCTTTAATGGGGGAAGGGTCAGTGGTTGCAGGGGGCGGGCAGTCCCATTCCCTTTAATGGGGGAAGGGTCAGTGGTTGCAGGGGGCGGGCAGTCCCATTCCCTTTAATGGGGGAAGGGTCAGTGGTTGCAGGGGGCGGGCAGTCCCATTCCCTTTAATGGGGGAAGGGTCAGTGGTTGCAGGGGGCGGGCAGTCCCATTCCCTTTAATGGGGGAAGGGTCAGTGGTTGCAGGGGGCGGGCAGTCCCATTCCCTTTAATGGGGGAAGGGTCAGTGGTTGCAGGGGGCGGGCAGTCCCATTCCCTTTAATGGGGGAAGGGTCAGTGGTTGCAGGGGGCGGGCAGTCCCATTCCCTTTAATGGGGGAAGGGTCAGTGGTTGCAGGGGGCGGGCAGTCCCATTCCCTTTAATGGGGGAAGGGTCAGTGGTTGCAGGGGGCGGGCAGTCCCATTCCCTTTAATGGGGGAAGGGTCAGTGGTTGCAGGGGGCGGGCAGTCCCATTCCCTTTAATGGGGGAAGGGTCAGTGGTTGCAGGGGGCGGGCAGTCCCATTCCCTTTAATGGGGGAAGGGTCAGTGGTTGCAGGGGGCGGGCAGTCCCATTCCCTTTAATGGGGGAAGGGTCAGTGGTTGCAGGGGGCGGGCAGTCCCATTCCCTTTAATGGGGGAAGGGTCAGTGGTTGCAGGGGGCGGGCAGTCCCATTCCCTTTAATGGGGGAAGGGTCAGTGGTTGCAGGGGGCGGGCAGTCCCATTCCCTTTAATGGGGGAAGGGTCAGTGGTTGCAGGGGGCGGGCAGTCCCATTCCCTTTAATGGGGGAAGGGTCAGTGGTTGCAGGGGGCGGGCAGTCCCATTCCCTTTAATGGGGGAAGGGTCAGTGGTTGCAGGGGGCGGGCAGTCCCATTCCCTTTAATGGGGGAAGGGTCAGTGGTTGCAGGGGGCGGGCAGTCCCATTCCCTTTAATGGGGGAAGGGTCAGTGGTTGCAGGGGGCGGGCAGTCCCATTCCCTTTAATGGGGGAAGGGTCAGTGGTTGCAGGGGGCGGGCAGTCCCATTCCCTTTAATGGGGGAAGGGTCAGTGGTTGCAGGGGGCGGGCAGTCCCATTCCCTTTAATGGGGGAAGGGTCAGTGGTTGCAGGGGGCGGGCAGTCCCATTCCCTTTAATGGGGGAAGGGTCAGTGGTTGCAGGGGGCGGGCAGTCCCATTCCCTTTAATGGGGGAAGGGTCAGTGGTTGCAGGGGGCGGGCAGTCCCATTCCCTTTAATGGGGGAAGGGTCAGTGGTTGCAGGGGGCGGGCAGTCCCATTCCCTTTAATGGGGGAAGGGTCAGTGGTTGCAGGGGGCGGGCAGTCCCATTCCCTTTAATGGGGGAAGGGTCAGTGGTTGCAGGGGGCGGGCAGTCCCATTCCCTTTAATGGGGGAAGGGTCAGTGGTTGCAGGGGGCGGGCAGTCCCATTCCCTTTAATGGGGGAAGGGTCAGTGGTTGCAGGGGGCGGGCAGTCCCATTCCCTTTAATGGGGGAAGGGTCAGTGGTTGCAGGGGGCGGGCAGTCCCATTCCCTTTAATGGGGGAAGGGTCAGTGGTTGCAGGGGGCGGGCAGTCCCATTCCCTTTAATGGGGGAAGGGTCAGTGGTTGCAGGGGGCGGGCAGTCCCATTCCCTTTAATGGGGGAAGGGTCAGTGGTTGCAGGGGGCGGGCAGTCCCATTCCCTTTAATGGGGGAAGGGTCAGTGGTTGCAGGGGGCGGGCAGTCCCATTCCCTTTAATGGGGGAAGGGTCAGTGGTTGCAGGGGGCGGGCAGTCCCATTCCCTTTAATGGGGGAAGGGTCAGTGGTTGCAGGGGGCGGGCAGTCCCATTCCCTTTAATGGGGGAAGGGTCAGTGGTTGCAGGGGGCGGGCAGTCCCATTCCCTTTAATGGGGGAAGGGTCAGTGGTTGCAGGGGGCGGGCAGTCCCATTCCCTTTAATGGGGGAAGGGTCAGTGGTTGCAGGGGGCGGGCAGTCCCATTCCCTTTAATGGGGGAAGGGTCAGTGGTTGCAGGGGGCGGGCAGTCCCATTCCCTTTAATGGGGGAAGGGTCAGTGGTTGCAGGGGGCGGGCAGTCCCATTCCCTTTAATGGGGGAAGGGTCAGTGGTTGCAGGGGGCGGGCAGTCCCATTCCCTTTAATGGGGGAAGGGTCAGTGGTTGCAGGGGGCGGGCAGTCCCATTCCCTTTAATGGGGGAAGGGTCAGTGGTTGCAGGGGGCGGGCAGTCCCATTCCCTTTAATGGGGGAAGGGTCAGTGGTTGCAGGGGGCGGGCAGTCCCATTCCCTTTAATGGGGGAAGGGTCAGTGGTTGCAGGGGGCGGGCAGTCCCATTCCCTTTAATGGGGGAAGGGTCAGTGGTTGCAGGGGGCGGGCAGTCCCATTCCCTTTAATGGGGGAAGGGTCAGTGGTTGCAGGGGGCGGGCAGTCCCATTCCCTTTAATGGGGGAAGGGTCAGTGGTTGCAGGGGGCGGGCAGTCCCATTCCCTTTAATGGGGGAAGGGTCAGTGGTTGCAGGGGGCGGGCAGTCCCATTCCCTTTAATGGGGGAAGGGTCAGTGGTTGCAGGGGGCGGGCAGTCCCATTCCCTTTAATGGGGGAAGGGTCAGTGGTTGCAGGGGGCGGGCAGTCCCATTCCCTTTAATGGGGGAAGGGTCAGTGGTTGCAGGGGGCGGGCAGTCCCATTCCCTTTAATGGGGGAAGGGTCAGTGGTTGCAGGGGGCGGGCAGTCCCATTCCCTTTAATGGGGGAAGGGACAGAGGTTGCAGGGGGGCGGGCAGTCCCATTCCCTTTAATGGGGGAAGGGTCAGTGGTTGCAGGGGGCGGGCAGTCCCATTCCCTCTCATGGGCGGAGGGGTGGATCTCTGTGAAGGGGTTCATCCATTTCTTGGATGGGGGTGAAGGGAGGAGGCTGCCCCAAGGCAAAGTGTTGAGACTGTTTCTTCCCCACCTTGTCTCTGTGGCCCCACCCCCCTCGCCAGCTTGGTCATGGGCCCTTTCCTCCTCTAGGGGATGCTGGCTCCAATCTGGCCGTAGGGCAGGGGCTGGCTAGGGCAGGGGCTGGCTGGCCCAGGGGGCGGGGATTGGGGCTTGCCCTCTCTGGGGGGCACTGGCTGTGCTGCTGCCTGAGAACACCACGTGGGTCCAGCCCCTGGACCTGCCCAGCTGCTCTCTGGGCTGCTGGGGCTGAGTGACTCTAGTGTAGTGATGGGGGGCACCGGGCTGGGCGCAGAGCTGGAGCAGGCAGTGCTGGGGGAATGAGCTGCCCAGAGCCTCA